GATGGGATGTTGCTAAATCAGAATAAGGGATTGTTCACAATTTCTGTGATTTTCTGTCTCTGTGCACTGTGAAATTGATGGCTGCATGTTCTTCTGGTTCTTCTCCCTCTAGTGCACGGACAGCAAGTGTCATTGCTGACATAGACACAGGGTTTTGCCAAACTGTTGGATTCTGCTTGATTCTGTGGGAAGGAATCTGATTTGAACCATAGTGTTCTGTCTGGAAGGCAACTAATGGAGCCCAGCCCCTAAAGCTCAGCAAAATCCAGGAGAAACCTTCCTTCTCCATTCAGGAAGTCATTATTGAATGTTTCTTTACATTATGGATTGTGATACACTGAAATGCTTGCACACTGCCTGTGTTTCTGGGAAGGGGTGTTGCTAAATCAGAATAAGGGATTGTTCACAATTTCTGTGATTTTCTGTCTCTGTGCACTGTGAAATTGATGGCTGCATGTTCTTCTGGTTCTTCTCCCTCTAGTGCATGGACAGCAAGTCCCATTAGTCCTCTAATTCCTGAGGATGACAACGCAGAGGTGAGGAAGCACAGCCCTTGCTGGGAAGCTCCAACTTGCACGTCCCTCCAAGTCCCTCCTTGATGGTGTCCATAGAGGGAGAAGCCCTTGCCAGGATGGCACTGGCACAGCTGTGTGTTCCTTACAGTTCTAGCATTGCACATACTCCAAGTCCTGTTTGCCTGGTGCCAATAGAGCAGCAAACTGGAATTCTTTGCTCCAAATTCCTGCTGTTCTTTGTGTTCTTTAGAAGCTGCTCGTCCCACATGAAGTGTTTAGACAGATCCTTGGGCCTTTTTGGGGAGAAAGAGGGAAAGGAAAGACTCCAGGCCAAATCCATTTAAGGAGCTGATACACAAGAGCAGGCTGTTCAGGAATTGTCAGGCGCCTCCTAATCTCTGTCCATTTTTACCCCATTGCTGGAGCAGAGCCAGGCATACCCACTCGGTTCCAGACCAGCCGAGGATGCAGCTGAAGTCCTGGCAAATGAGAATGAAGAGGAGCCACAAGATATTGAAACGTATGTGACAGATAAAGAGACTCTCCAAAGTCTAATCTCTGCTAGATGGTAGAAAGAGGCTTCTGCCAAGCTTTATGACAGTTCTACTCTGTAGATGAAATCTTAATTGAAGGTATCTTTCAGTAACACTTGAGGGACACTGAAGAGTCGGAAGTACGTAAAAGTAATTGAAATGATTGTGCTGTTGGGCTGGAATGTTGCTAAATCAGAATAAGGGATGTTTTATTTTCTGGCACTTCTGTAGCAGTGACCACTCATGCACGGTGAAATTAATTGGCTGCATGTTTTTCTGCATCTGTTTTCTGTAGAACAAGGCCCTCTGGTAGTCTCCTCTGTGTTATTTGCAGGGGTTGCTACTCACAGGTAAGAATCCACAAGTTGTTTTTTCTGCTTTGTGGAAGGGGAGGGGAAAAAAGGGGAGCTGCACAACTCAGTTGTCTTAGGTGGGTGCTACAGGCAGCTGGATGGCAGCACAGCCCTTGCTGGGAAGCTCCAAGTTCCTGCAGCCCATGCCTGCAAGTCCCTCCTTGCTGGTGTCCATAGGGGGAGAAGCTCTTGCCAGGATGGCACTGTCAGATCCAGATGTTCCTTGGAATTCTAGCATTGACTGATAGAGTTCTTTATTGCCAGTGCCTGTTGTGGTTTCCTTTCTTCAGCAGCTCTTTCATCTAACATGAA